CCTTCACCTGTAAGTCATAGATTTTGTTTTGATTTCTATGCGTCCCGTGATACGTTCAAGGCCATTGTAGTACATTTCCTCACCTGTACGTCATAGATTTTGTTTTGTTTTGTTTTATATGCGTCCCGTGATACGTTCAAGGCCATTGTAGTATATTTCCTCACCTGTACGTCATAGATATTGTTTTGTTTTGATTTCTATGCGTCCCGTGATACATTCAATGGTACATTTCCTCACCTGCATGCTATAGATCGACATATAAACATTATATATTTTTTTCCAGTTTTTATGCGTCCCGGGTTACATTCAATGGTACATTTCCTCACCTGCATGCTATAGATCGACATATAAACATTGTTTCTTTTTCCAGTTTTTATGCGTCACGGGTTACATTCAATGGTACATTTCCTCACCTGTTCGATATATATATATATATTTATTTCCGTTCCTATGCGTCCCATGATACGTTCAAGGACATTGTAATATATTTGCTCACCTGTATTTTATAGACCTTCATGAATTGAAAGGGATACTCACGCATCAGATTTGCTCTGCTAATACCGCTTGTGAATATGTCTCACAAACGTGAAATTTCACGCTGTACGTTAGAATTGTTGTGTGTGAAAGAGCGCTGGTACTATCCTGATGTGTCACATGCTATGTACAGTTTTTTCTTCTGGGGACGATGTATTCTTGAGGCGGTCAACTATTATGTGGAATTGAATCGCGACTTAATCAATCACTCACAAATGAAGGTGGTTAAATAATCACTAGGCTCGAATGTTATTTATCGAAGTTCATTTTCTGTTCATTTCTAAGTAAACGCTCGATATTTTTGCAGCACGGCCACATAGCGTGTTCATCAAGAGATAGAACCCCCTGCCGCAACCCTGAAGGATTACATCCAGTGACCCATTGGCAGGGAATGTGTGGTACCCCTTCGCTCAGAAGTTTATCCGGTTGTTCGTCTACAGTTCTACAACATGTACAAACGGGAAAGGCCCCAACGCAAATAAATCCCGTGCATGTCCCCATTAATCTACCTACATAGCAATCGAAGCCGGGACCACATAATTTCATGTGTCACGTCAATATAGCAAGCGTGTGCATTCAAGTGGACTATGTTCGGCAGATAGTGTGCCCAACTAACACTCCATGCGCTTCTCCAGATTGAAACCGTCACATATTCAACGAAATTTTTGTTTTTTTATAAAAAACATCTTTTTTTACAAACCGGTATGTAAACACTGTTGGGTGCTGACTACTGAGTGCTGAGTCGGGCTGACTGTCACTGCAGCCTGCACTGACTGCACTGCAGTGATACATATTTACAAACTGCAAGCCCAAGACGCATTTTTATTTCTTTCTTTAAAAATATAAAAAGCAAGGGGGGAATCTCATTGGCTGGAGAATAATCAACAATGAAAGAAATCTCGTTTCCTCTTCAAAAAGAATTCCCTTTTGACAGATAAATACTCGACCTCGCGGCGTTCATATTGAATGTAAATATACATACACTTGGTTAATTAGTTACATATGTACTCATAAATCAGTATCATCAGTACAGAACTACAGTCTTCCGATGCTATGTTGTTACAATGTTATTAGATACTCGTTAGCTCGTTTCGGTATTTACCTCGTTACACATTGACTTTTCGACTCTCGACTCTCGAACCAATGCATTGCGGCGTGCCCGACTGTGCCTCTGAGATACTCTTTGGAGTCACTCTCTACTCTAGAGCTGTGAACTTGCGGTCTAAAATTCGAGTTCGTCAAGTTTTCAATATACGAATCAGTCCTATAGGGGTTGACAACAAAAAAAATCTCATCCCGATCGGCCTATTGATTCAAAAGTTAAGGCAAATGCTAGTTTGTTCCAGAACTGGGCCAAATTAGCCATACGTAGGCGTTATGTATGTCCATATACACCTATCCGATGCTCCTGGGATCAAAATATGTTTTTCTATTACTCTTTGGATATATATGCACGCACAGGCTAACTCGTCGAGACTAACATTTTAAGCTATCCAACGACCAATGAACGTAAATATTTCATTTACCTCTGGGTCAACCTCTATAGTAAAATTCCCCGATTTCAAAAAGCCTACTCATTTTGTTGTCATCCGCTGTCGGCTATCTATCAATTGAATAAATATGCGTTTACGTTCAACTTCTATTTGGAATCCCAATAACGTAATGAGCTTGGCTGAGTCATCAGTGGTCACTCACTGACAATCACTGTAGTGTGAATTTGTGAATTGTGAACTCACTTAACTGTTCTGACTTCTATGTTTGTGGCTGGATTGAGGATTCTAGATATTGCGACCTGAATAGTGCACCTATTCAAAAGAAATTGGTCTATCTAGATATATGGGATCAAAATGTGCTATCAGGACAAAAATCTAGTCCATATGTAGGCGCCTCACCAGAAATTTGGCCCTACTATTATACAATAATAAACAAACAAAAAAACGATACGAGGTGGTGCAGTCGCTTTAAAATGATACAGGAAACCACCCTTACTTCAGCCAGGCACAGCACACACTAATAGTGACCCGATTCGGACGTTTGATAGCGGAAAATGCTCACAAAGACCTGATTAGGAAAATCACCCGGACACATTTTTGGATTTGTACTTAGTTCAAAAATTACTTTTGACAAATCTTAAAAAAACGGCCGTTTGTGGTGGAACCCGCCTTGCAGTACGAATTTTGGACTTTTGAGGGCAGAAATCGTCATGCCAGCCCATTTCTAAGACATGTTATCATCAGATTTTCGAAATTAGTTTCCCACCCCGTTGAAAGGTGTCTTTATTGTAGTCTTATTAAATAAATTAGCTTCTACTAGACTATTCAGCTGTAACTATATCGTACACATTCTCGGGTACCCGACGGTGAGAAGTATACTTCTTCTTGGCAAATTATGCCAACTGTAAAGTCAGCCCCTTGTCGTAGCAGTCCATATATCTGTAGGAGCCCCTAACAAATCGTCTAATTGTTGCCAATTTAACACCGTTCAAAGCTCTGGTCACCTTTTTTTGAAGACCGGCCCAGGTTCCATCGCAGTTCTCTAACATCAAACTTAGCTCTACCCCTATATCTCTCGATAGGATTACATTCACAATGGAATTTGGGTAGGAATACACATATCACATCATTATTCTCACATTTCTCCTCAATCGGACTCTTTTGTGACCTGAAGTCTTCATATTGATCTAATAAACAGGTGATAAGGTTCTTATTAGATTGTACATATTCTTTTTACATATTTTTTTTTACAAATACATATTTAAAAAATTTCGAGTGCGTTCAGACTTCTCACTTTAGAGTTGTGTGCTGTTTGCTGTATTTTTTTTAATAAAAACAAATGGTTCTTGAATCTTGTTGTATTGTCGAAACTGCGGAAACTTTCAGCTACTTCGTCTCTTCAGTAGTTTTGTTCGAAAAAATGCTGCGATGATAACACTTTTGCTGTGAAAGTGTGAATTCTGTATTCTGTATTTACTTCTCTCAAAAATACTATATATATATATATATCTATTTGTATAACGACATTTACTACAATTAGAACAATTCTTTCAACATGGCAATACTTCAAATTCTAAAAAGATTCCGTTGCAGAAGTGACAGCTTCGAGGAAAATAATATTGCAGACAACGATGCGCGCAGAAAGACGCGCTGCGTACCTCCGTACAGTGGGTCATCAAAGTATATGGATATATGTCAAGTAACTGATCCGGCCTCCATAGAGTTCCAGCCAATCTCATCGGAATCGATGGTTTTCTCGGTAGATTTTGAATCGAATAGTTCATTCTTCCCAGAAACTACTAGAGTAGAACCGCGTGTTAGAACGAGAGGAAATGAACTTGAACAGACCGACGATAGCATCGCACTGCACCCCCTTGTACCATCGGGGGCTAGCTTTGACAAGGTACGAACATGTAGTGCTACACCTAGTAGCCCTTTCTGTAACGACACTCGTTCGGCGTTGAGGAAAACCTCATCAACACCTACATCGCTTCGTTCGAGGTCATTCCGTATGTCGAGTCCACTTCCTCGAGGGTACAGAGCGAATCTAAGTGATAGTCGTCTCTACATGAGGAAGTTGTGCATTGCAAATCAAATCGTCCATACGCTACCAGAGGATCAACGCAGTATAGCGCAGCATTCTGACTTGACTACCATATTGACTATGTACAGTCCTACGACGCGCAAAGGCACATCTGATGGCCGTCTTGACGGCTCGTCTATGCCGATCGCAGGAGACTTCGTTGAGAGTTCTACTTCTAAGCAATATCCCGTGATTCCCCGACGCTCATCGCCAGAAACATCTGGTGTGCACACTGAAGCCGATCTTTTGATGCCGTTATCTCCAAATATCTCCAAATATGTTGATGGCGTGCCACTCGGGGCACACGTGTTTTTGGAAGAAGATTTAACCCAAGCCAAGGTGGTTGCGGGCGATTGGCTCATAAATGGAGTCTCGCCCGGGTCTAGCTTATCATCAGTAAATGAAGTCCCAATAAGTGCGAATCCTGTCGACAGGTTCGTAAATAATGCGCCGTCCAGCCCAGACATGCCATCGGATAGTGCAAATCCAGCTAACACGATTCTGGATAACAGATTCATCAATGGAATGTTGCCTGGGTCAAAAAAGTCCTTCGATAACTCGATCCAGGTTAATGCGATTGAGGTTGACAGATTTGTTAATGGGGTAGCATCCAGGAATGATGTGTGTCTCAAAGGATTGACGACGAGACGAACACAGTCGTGTCATACGATACGATCAAAGGATGGAAATCGGGTGCGATTCAGGGCAGATACAATTATTTACGAAACCTTTCATTGTACAGTGTATGATCGGAAAGTCGAGAAACTCTTTGCGAGCAAATCGATGATGGAAATTTACCGTGAGCTCATGAGGTTCAAGCTCACAGAAATGATAGTACATGAAGATTCGTTGATCAATACCAACAAGCATCTTGCAAAGTTGAGCGAAGGGGATCGCGCAACCATGCTCTTGGAAATATGGTGTATACTTTCAGAGCACCAGGTACAATATTGAATCGTGAGAGCTATTTTTGCCAATCCACTTGATGGGGAGTACAATTGCAATTATGTACACATTTAGGACCATTTGCACTATGGAACAAGATTTTGATAGGGATGTCCTCACATTGAGGCTCAATAAAACTAGAAAGCAAATTTTCAACTCGAATTCTTTCATTCTAATTCGAAGTGGTATTAAATCTATGGAACAGAAGCTTTCATCGCCGTATAAAGAATCATCGAAAGCAAGAAGCCAATTTTTACATTGTATCACATTGGGAATGGTATATGAAAACGCTGTTTCAAGAATCCCGGGATATGATTAGCGTTTTCAAACCACATATACTTTCAAAGTGGTTTATGGTCATGTATTAAATAACACAGTTGCATGAACAAATGCGGACATGCATCGAGCCATCGAGTTGTCAATAATTAGATAATATAGTCAGCAGAATCCAACGACTGTTTGGTACTTTTTATATATTTACACATCTAATTCCTATTCGTGAATATATAAACTGACATATAGAGCGTCTTAAAGTAGGCAAACTATGATGTCCAAAAAAAACGAATAGCACAGTAGTAGACATATACTTGTGTACACTTTAGTAGTAATATACGGGAGGGTATTTACCCGGGGGTGAAAGCTATAGTTCAACTTACAATTGTACCACAGCATGCGTATGATCAGGCGCTGAAGAACAACATTTACGAATCTTCAAAGCATTCCCGGCTTGCTTCCAATCAATACGTGGATTCAGCCTAAAAGCTTCGAAATATTCCTTATATATAATACATAGTTGTCTAAGTACGACCAAACAATTCACCAATCGCCGGTAACCCAACGGTATTTAGCCAGCTAATGTACTCTGACGGATCTCCAGGCCTCGGGTGCTGTGAGGTGATAAAAATGTAGCTGAGTTCATGAGTTGTTGCACTACGTCTAAAATGAAGTTTCGGAAAGTCTTCGGAAAAGTGAAGTTTATATCACGATTTTGTTATATAAATGCCGTACACCACCCATCACAAATAACTTAAACCAAAACACCCTGCGAAGGAGAGTGGTGAATGGTAGTAAACTCGCATGAACGGTCGTAGAGCACCAATAATTACAGTCCTTCCATCGTATACGGATACGGATGTAAGGTAGTCAGAGAAGTACCTTCTTCCGGAATTCGCCCACAACCGATGTGAGACTGCGCCAGGGCCTTCGCTGTGTCAAGAGCGTGGCATAGTCGTATGTGTAGCCCTGGACCATGTAGTACCTATCATCGAAGCAGAAGGTAGAAGTTGTGTTACCTTTGTATTTAAGTATGTGATGTGCATGTTGTACACGATGATGGTTGGATTGCTTTAAGAAATGAGCCACTGACTTGTATACTCCACCTTGAGAAGCGTTTACCCCTATTGCACGGTCTTTCTGGTACATTTGGATGATGAGGTGTGTGTGGTGTTGATATGATATTAATAAACACCGGAGCTGTACGAGAATCTTGTATAACTATGCAACAACCAAATGGCAGACACCCAACTACACTGACAAGAGCTTGCAAGTACGATTGTTATTACTATGATTTACCAAGCCCAGCTAAAAACTTCAAACCCAGAGAATATCAACTATAGTATGACTATGGGCTCAGAGGTGAAATAGACCTAAAAGTTTTAGCATAACAAATATTTTAGTTCTGAACAACACCAATAATAAAGAGTGCCATGTATCTACATACGCCACGGAGGCTAGGTGCACATACCATACGACGTTGCAGACAACCTGATAAGGGTATGTTTAAATCTACATATAAGCCCAGTCAGGAGCAGCATTAGAGTATCGTACTTCTAACGTGCACGGTGTAAGATATCTGCATCTTTGGTGCAATCTCCGACGACATAACACAAGCGAGTGTGCACATCTCAATGGAAACTTAACACAAGTACAGTGCAAGCACCACCTGGAAAGTCCTGTACAATTTACTGAGGTATCATACTAGTCTTTCAGCAGGGATTCGTTTCTTCGCAGGCTGCTGTGTAGTGTGGTACTTGCAATATGGCTGTCTGCTCATAGTGAACTCTTCTCCACTAAGATACTTCCGTTTATAATTACTGCAATGCAATGAAGCGCATCGCTGCGTGTACACAGGCGATATGTAGCATATCAAACCCACCATCCCATCGACACACACATTCACCGTGTTCTACACACAACACAAACCAGCAACGATGCGACTATACATTCCTCTACATAGATAAGTTTCCAATACACACACACCCCACACATATATGTCCAGCTCACTGCTCAATTGGTATGCATACCTGATCCATAGCTCTTCGGAGTCCCCCATGGTAAACCGTCGGCCATTGATAACGGTCCTTACATCCTCAACGTACGAAGCCTGTGCAAATTTAGCATTGCCGTCTATTGCTAAACACACGCTCACGAAGTGTTGTAGTGCAACGGCTTGGCAGGAGTCTCGTACGGCGCGCATGTAGGCATGGAAGGGCAAGTGGGCATAGTATACAGGCAAGTCGTCATCAACGTGCTGGTTAGCTTTACCATGATCACTGTTGCCATGGATACCGCTACCATGGCGATAAGGATCTATGACCGCCATGTGTAGGCGATAGTAAGCGTAGCATGTGTACTCGAGAGAGTGCGTATCCATGTGCACATCCCAGCTAAACAACAAGTTTGAGAGGTATGTCATCAGCACCGCTACATTCGGTTCTTCACAGTTGTCGGAGATGTTCTGTATGTCGCGCCCTGTATCGTCACCTGTAGACAATATATATATATATATATATATATATATATACGCAAAAAAAAGGTGAATCCAAATGAGATATGTACGCTTGTGATGTGGCACTTTCCCGTATCGCTTAAGGGTGTGCAACTATATCACTGTCTGGGAGTGGGGTATACATCGGCACACCACATACCTTGGTCGGCCTGGTGCGGGCTAGCAGGCCCATCACGTGGTCTCTCAGTGACGCTCGTGGCCAACGCTTCAACCCCATCCTACGCACACGTGCACAGCGACAACCAACCGCCACAACGTGAACGAATTAGCAAAGGCGGCTGAGGTGAAACATAACGGCATGACAGCCCCCTGCCGTCTGATCGAATGCAACTCAGACTGCCGCAGATAGGGAAGGGTAGTCACAAACAGCCCACACACAAGGTCAGCGTGCGCGTGTACACATACCTCACCCTCTGGTGTGATGTGCTGCCCACTGCGTCGAGTCGCTTCCCGTAGCCTGTCCACAATATCAAACATAGACACCGGCCCCTTGACGCCCGTGTTGCCACGTGTCAATGTGACACGCTGGTCCTGTGCAGGTGAATGCGGATATTGGCGTGTGCTCGTGCGTGCATGTGCGCCGCTGTGTGCACGCCGGCGTGCGAGTGCCCTGCACAGTAGTGAGTGGCCTGTGTCGAACAGAGCGTGCTGCAGACGGCGTTGGCGCACGCTGTCGCTGGGGTCCCGCGTTGGCATGGCAACCAGCAGGTCACTCCACGATTGCAGCATATTGACAATACTCATCAGTCCGCCATCTACCATACACCCACACCCACCCACCCACTCAGTCTGCGTGCCATTCCTGGCCAGTTTGTGTACGCTTGTCCTGGCCTCGTTATGTCCGTGTGCGGACCTCGCAGCCAATCCTGGAGGTGTGCTCACAGGAGTGTACATCGAGAGGAGCTCAAAGAATTCGGATGTGAACGGGTGGTCTAGGAGTGTTGTTGGGCACGTGCCACACACACACAGTGCAATAGGCACAGGCGTGTGGTGTGTAGTTGTGGAGACGCCGTGGCGCGTGTGTGGTGTGGTTTGTGAGGCTGTGGAGTGAGTGTGTTGCGATTTTCGGGTTTCTTGTTTGAAGTTTGGAATCCTGCTGGCGTCTGAATAGTGGGTGCTCGAATCGGGTTGTGGCATACGCTTGCCCGTGTTCGTGCGGATGCTTTGGTCGCCCCAACTACAGCGTGTTTGTGAGTCCACCTCTGCTTGTGTGTGCGTATAAGGACTTTCTTCCCTTTCCACACTAGGATTGGTTTGTTCTGAGCGTACAGAACCACCGGCCGAGTGAGCTGCATCCGTGCACTTCACAGCCACACACATGTATGTAAGTGCACAGTCAACTAAAAACCCACCCACGCACGGTAATAACCATTGTCCGCGTACCGCCTCCACTACCAATCCTCGACTGACACCCGCCTCCCCCCCTGACATACGCGCCAGTCCTGCCCTGATCCCATCAATAGTATTAGCCTCATCTGTACATACTTTCGCACTCTCTTGTACATCTGTCTGTTCCCGTATGAGCACTTCGCGTCGATCACCGGCGCCTGGCTGACGCCACGCACCTTGCCTGTCGTGGGCATATGTGTCTATCTCGGAGGAATACTCTCTTCCGTTACCTACCCCACCACCCAGCCCCAACTCACACACAGCACTCCAAATAGTCGCATGCACATCACACACCAGCCCCACCACACTCCTATTCTCTGGGAATATTGCCAGCATGTAATCGCAGGCAAAGGACACTTGCTGTGCGTCGCTGTGCCAGATCTGCAGCCATGCGTGATATGATGCCTTTGCACTACTTGCGCGGTCAATGCGGCTCTCATCCAGACGCCGCTGCAGGATCCTACTAAAATCGACAGCACCCCTGCGCAATATCATCCCGGTATGAATCGGGACATGCTCCATGGCAACCGATATCCCGCCACGCGCCTGTGTACCATGTTGCAGAGGTGACAATGCCGGGCGGAGCACATCTCTTTGTGGTCTGGGGGGTGTGTGCACGCTATCCTGTGCTGTCGTCCCATTCCGGCTACGGCTATCTCTGCGCTCTGGTCGATGCGTGCGAGTGTGTCCTTGTGCACCTGCCATGTCTCGTGCGTGAGCTCGTGAATGTGCGCGTGTGTGTGTGTTTGCACTCCCATCCTTCTGGGCATATGTGGCCGTGTGTAATGTGTGTTCTGCCTGCACGTCAGGTGTATGTGTGCGTACTCTATCACGTGCACATTCTCGGCCGTGTGTCTTGCCACTTCTCCCAGGTGTATTACGCAAGGGGACAGGCGGAGACTCAGAATCTGACTGGCTTGAAGGTGCCCCACCGCGTTTGCGCTTCCGCTTGTGAGCTAACCTGTACAAGCTTGTGTGTGCGTGCGTGCCTTCGCCTGCCTGTGTGCGCTTCTTTGTCCCTGCAATCGTATGTTCATACTTCTGGGTGTGCACACAATTGCCCCCACACGCCATCGTGTTATCGGCTGCAATCATCCCGTTGGCGTTCTGAGTCTCCTGCAAGTACTCGCACGTGGCTGTATGGGCCACGTGCGCGGGCGGAAAGCTGGGCCCACACGACAGCCAAGACACTGGGGAAGTTCGGTCCAATACCCCTTGGTACAGGTGCAGCAGTGAGGTGGGAGTGTCGGGTGCTGAGATGCGCCTGTGAATCAGAGGGTCGATGTATTTGCTGTCAGTAGAGTACGCGCTTGCAAGCAATATATGCAGAAAATAGAATGAGCTGGTACGGGATAGTCCTTATGTACGTTCGTGTATTTGCAACTATTAGCAACCAACCGGAGAGGCTAATGATTATCTTTGGATGTCGATAGATGTCTTCTTGCTGTTTGAGAAAATGAAAATATAATATAAATATATGTATATATATATATATATATATATAAATATTACACGAACAGTCCAGGATTCGCACATACCTGGGATAATATGACTTGTAAACAGCCAATAGGCAACCGATCTCGTACGCCACGAGCTTGTAAGCTTCAGCACTTCGCATGCTCTGTAGTTGCGCAGCTCTCCGCGGCTTGACATGCTCAGCACGAGTAAGCAGACACAGTAAACGGCACACATCGCCACACAGATAGGTATCTTTCAAAGCCAGGAGAAGCGCCTGGTACAAGTATGCTTGTCTGTCGGCCCGTTGTTGTTGGAGGTCGCCTTGAATGTGAATGTGGTGATAGTGGATCACCTGTGAATGCATGTGAATACACGGGTGAGTACATGATCACAAGCCCAAGATCAGTCAGTGCATCAAACTGGTTCCGCTATAAGCCTGTACAAATAGCGGTACACCAAACATGTACCCGCCCGTTTGCAACGAACGCCTCTACCGCAAATGAAATCACACGCACCTATATATGTGTGTGTGGTGATATGTACACGCATCCGTAACCCGGAGCAATGATCGCTATACGTACCAGCCATTTGACCAGCACCCGTTTGTAAGCCATCTTGACATTTGGCGCCCGCAATGAGCGCAGCACCAGAGCCACAGAGTTCCATCCTATAGTCGCGTGTTGGCATGGCAACGCCAGCTGGTTTATTAGGAACGTATCAATGTGCTTCGCATCTACACCCGCGGTGGATATGGCTTTTCCGCGCTCTATCTTCACAAGCGCTCGCAGAAAATCCGCACCCGTCCAGGTTTCTGTTTACGTGTAGATATATGGGAACAAGTAGCTATAAGCAATAGCGTAGTAAAATGTCCTTGTAGGTAGAAATACTACATGCTTGCGAACACAAATAATGGATGAGATTTGTATGTATATGAGGGGCCACGAAATTGGAGTGGCTGTACTCCATGATACGCTAGAGCTTGTATACACTAGCAGTATCTCCACAATAAATCACACGAGAACAATAAGACTTAAAAGCACTATTAGTATGCTTATAGACTGCAACTGTCCCAGATGTCGCCGGATTGGTGACCCTTTACGCGCTTTAGGAGCACGGAAATGCCAACTAATCGATTTATATTACTGCACTCCTTAAATGTGGAGGACTGTGAAACTCATGACTAGAAACACACATCCAGATATCTAAGCGATTACTTATATTACACTCGCCAATGATGAAGCGCCATATACTCTACATTAGAAGTGCCCTGATTGATCGGCGCTAGAGATATTCCTTTCTACCAACGAAAAGCCTAGACGCAAATGTTCTACTTGAAATACATTTGTCTCGCATACATATTTTAAATCCTGCACACAATAGTGTCGCGAGTACAGCCACAATACCTTCGCAACGTTGGGTGCCAATAGTCGCACTGTGTTGATTCCTCGGGGACGTTATACAGCTACGAGTGCGTTTACGCGGCACAGGAGTGATATTGTACCCTTTGTAGCCCTTGGGTGTGCACTTTATCATGTGCCTATCAGTGATGAAAATCCGTGGTGTTTAATATTTGCATCTGAATGTACACTCCTAAATATATTTATATATATATATCTATATATCTATATGTATGTATGTATGTATGTATGTATGTATGTATGTATGTATAAATTTATATATATATATATATATGTATATATAAATATATGTTTGTGTGTG